ATCCAACATACTTACAATTTTTATTTAAAAATTAAAATATTAAATGAAAAATTTCATAGGTATAGCAGGTGAAGCTGAATAAAGAGGATGGTGTATACACATTAAATATTGTAACTAGCATAATAAATGGAATAATGATATAAGACAAGAATCTGACAAAAATAAAACTAAGAATGAGAAAGTAATAAAAGTAAATGCAGAAATTCATTAAAATTAGAGTAACTATAAAAATTTCATTGACTAATTCATTAGATATTATTTATTGACTCCCTGCTTAATGCATTCCACCCCTCCCCACCCCACTAGGTGCAGTAATCAACCAGACTTTACAGGATGTACACATTGACAGGGAAATTGTCATTGTTTATGAACATACATTTCAACTTTTACTTCAATTATCATAAATCCTTTAGAGAAAAGGAAAGTTTGCATCAGATTTATGAAGACTTTTGCATCCAAAGAGATTGGCCCTAAGGCTAAATTAGTTTCTTCATGATGAATAATGCACTTATTCAATACTTGACCTGCCATTTTTTCTCCAGAGCTTCTTCATAGCATTAGTCATCTCAGAATTTCTTAGACTGTAGATTAAAGGGTTCAGCATAGGAGTGATGACTGTAAAAAATACACTTAATGATTTATCAATGGGGAAAGTCTTAGCGGGTCTCACGTATATGAAAATACAGGGAACAAAAAAGCAGACAACCACAGTGATGTGGGAACCACAGGTCTGGAGAGCTTTCCGCCTCCCTTCCTGACTCAGGTTCTTTAGAGAGTGCAAGATGACTCCATACGAGATGAGTAAGAGCAGAAACACAATAGTGCAGATCAGTCCTCCATTAGCCACTACAATGAGGCCAATGACATACGTGTCAGTGCAGACGAGTTTCAATAAGGGGTACACATCACAGATAAAGTGATCAATGACATTGGGGCCACAGAATGGGAGCCCATAAACAGTGCTAACTTGAATAACTGAGTGCAGAAAACCTCCAACACAAGACACCACCACCAGCACAACACACACCCTTTGCCTCATGATAACCAAATAATGCAAGGGCTTACAGATGGCCACGTAGCGGTCATAGGCCATCACCAACAGAAGGAAGACCTCTGATCCACCAAAAATATGCTCTGTAAACAGCTGAGTCATGCAAGATTCAAAGGATATGGTGTTTTCCCCAAAGAATAAGTCTGAAATCAATCTGGGGGTAAAAGAAGATGAATAAGTGGCATCCATAAATGATAAGCTAGCAAGAAAGAAGTACATTGGTGACTTCAGGGTCTTACTGACAGTTATAGTCACAATAATGAGCAGGTTGCCCAACATGGTCAAAATGTAGAAGAGCAAGAACATAACAAAAAGGACTTTCTGCTCCTTTGGATTCTTTGTGAGGCCCAGGAGGATGAAATAAGTTACATTGTTCCTTGGTTCCATCTAGTCTGTACAGGAGGTGATTTCACATATCAGAAGCATTTTACCTACAAAACAAGGCAGAAAACTTTTAAATGCACTTTATATTTTATTTATCCATTCTATTAAAAAGAATGTGTATGAAGCATTTATTTGTGCCCAATACATCAGAACAAGTGCGATTACCAAGTTGGATAAGGCATAGTTCCCTCTCTGTGATATGATATATTATGAGGAATCAAACAGTTTCAGATCCACGTAATGAACAACATTATTAGACATTTACAGAAAGGTAAGAGTCACAGAGTAGGAATGCATCAGTCAAACGAAAGTCAGAGAAGGCTTCTCTGAGAATGTAATTTCTTAGCTAATCTTCTAAGAGAAAGCGAAAGAACAAGAAAAGATGGGAAGGAAATTCCATGAGGGTATACCATTTGCAAGTTCCGAAAATGTAATACTTGACACCCACATAAGCTAATTTACACATCCCAGTGTAGGTAGATCAAAATATGAATAGATGGCCAGTGCCCTGAACTGTCTCAGAACTCCCTAAACTGCTTTCTTACTGTCTTAGGTGGATATTCCCCCTTTTCCTGATGATTCATTGCTGAAGCCGTCCAGTTTTGTACCTCCAGCCTCTATCTCTACATGTATAAGCAGCACATACCGTTTTGGTCATCTCTAGTTGGGTATCAATTTAATATTTATAAAACATCATTTAAAATGTCCACAATAATAAATGTGTTTCCCATCTCATGAAATGGTACCGCCTTCAAAGTAATTGTTCAGATAAAAAGTTCTCACAGTATCGTTCGATTCTTTATTTCTTTCATATTAGTCGTTAATACTTTGAATATTTCCTGTTGTCTCCACTTTCAAGATACATCACAAATTGGGTCATTTCCTACCTCCGCCCACTTCTGTTTTTGCCCATTGTAATCACCTCCTGACAAGTCTCTCCACTTTTATTCTGGCCTCCATGCATCTGTTCTCCTCAGGTAGTCCAAAGTTTGCTCCTTAAATTTTGTTCTGATTGTATCACCCAACTGCTCTAAACACTTCTAGTGGATTCCAGTCATGTACTCAGAATTTTATGTGTCACATTTGACATTTACAGTCATAGGAATTGTATTCACCTTTTTATAGCTGAAAAAAATGAGGCTCAGACCATCTCATTAATTTCCCCAAGGTCACACATTTTTACATGATAAAACTAGAATTGGAACCTAGGTTTGATCTGTCTCAAAATGATTTATTTCTTACATAGTAAAGTCACACAATTGTGAATCCTGGTTCCCACTATGTATTGTTATTCTCACCTTGTGGAGGCTTGTTCCATAATCTGAAGGATGGGTTTTTAAATTACTCATAACCTGGAATTCTATTTTCATCCGATTTGACAACAGAGGGCAAAAGACTGCATTGTTACTTGAGGATATATTCTATTTCATTCCACTATGTTTATTTTTTCTATGGAGTCTCCTGAATATTCAGAAGACATTTGATTTGCACTGCAGATTCTTTAAAAGAAATACCATGGTGACTACAAAAAACAAAGGTTTATCATGTTTGGATAATTTATCAAAAAGATCAAAATCCTATATTCACATAGGAAGATTGTAAACAGCCATTTTCTGAAGGAAATGTATCTCAAGTAACTTCATTTCCTAAACTTCAAAATAGAAAAATATGATTTAATTTTTTAATCCTTCTCCTCTATCTTGTTGGTGTGGCCAGATTAGTTGATTTAAGAGCTTGAGATACATTCTGTTTCTTTCTTTTTGTTATGATTTGCTTGAAGCCTGAAAAAGGATCTCCTGAAAAATTATATCCGTTCTTAAATGATAGTATCTCTGTTCCCACTCGGGGCAAGATCACTGGACATTTTATTCCTTCTAACCTCATTTGTTCTTAAGTCTTAGAATTGGAAAGTGTCCAAAACCAATTCTCACTTAATTAAATTCACTGGGATTTTCCACTACATTTTAAAAATTCATCAGTATGTAAAGAGGCTACCAAACCTCATCACAGATTTAGGGTAAAAAAGGTGTCACATGAAAAAAAAAAAGAAAAACAGCTTTATAACTGCTTTCAAACTATTGCAAACCAAGAATAAAATAGCAACCAAATCATTTTGTTTCAGCGACAGTTAATTCCTCAAGTGTTTCCCCACTTGCCATAGCAAGCTTATCATTCTTTTTGTTTAATATTCAACTTATCCTGTCTTGACACTTATTAAATTCATGAAAATGTTATCACCATTTCAGCTATAATATCTAATATTGTATCTGATTATTATTTATTTTAATACTTAAGACAACTATGTTATACAAGGAACTGTGTTATAGTTGAGGTGACAGCAATCAATAAAACAAGGGGAAAAAAATCACATGACAGTTTCTTCCAACATGGATCTTATATTCTTACAATAGAGTCAGATGAAAAAAAAAGGAGACAATTTAATAAATTAGGAGGTTAGGGGACCATTCCATCAATAAGAATGCTTACAAGGTCAGCCAGCCTTCAGCATGTTCCTTTCTTCAGGCCCAGATAAATTATGCATGAGGCTTCCTAGAGATAGATTAATTAATTATTATGTAATTAATGTATTTATTTACATATATACTTATAAAACTAACATGTATATTAACAATACTCTATGCGAAGTAAGGAGTTCTATTACAATTTAAAAGACTCTAATAATAAAGTGTTCACAGTAACTAACATTTCTAGCACTTATATGTAAGAGTTTACACAGATTCTTTTATTTGATCTTGAAAATATCTCCACCATTTCCCATTTAACAAAACTTGAGGAAGTTGTGTTTTGCCAAAGTTTACATTAAAATGGGAAAGTTAAGATTTGATCTCAGAAGAATCTTCCTCAAAAAGACTATGCTCTTTACCATTATAGCATATTTAAACTGGTCACCCAATGCTCAAAAATGTACATGAAATTTGTAATAATGTAAAATCCCCACCAATAAAGCAAAACTATGAAAATGAGTTCCTTAAAGTGAATGGCTAGTTAAGATAATAATAAAAATGACTTTTTATTACTGAGTCTATGTTTATACTGCTCGCCACATAACAGGCTAATAAACTGAGACAAAAGTTGTTAGGGCAAGGAATAGTGACTTTATCTGGGGAGCCAGCAGACCAAAGGTGGACTAC